TACTTTCGAAAGTTGGTTTGTACATCACTGAGATGATTATGTTCACTTACCCCAGTGTTCTTACTTTCGTCTTTTCTGTGTTAGTCTGTTGCTAACAGCTCTATATGCTAGTCAGCGTGTTTTAAAGGAGCAGGATGAACATTCCTCAGCTCTTTGTTTCAGGCTAAAATGTTGTAGTTTATTCATGGCATTACCCAGAGTGCAAAAATGGGCTGAAAAATTGAAGCAGTTGGTAGGAATCAGCAACGGTTTAGAACTGTGATAGCTTTCATTGGTTTGATTTCCTTATTTTGTTACAAGAGAACAGGAATAATGATATAGTGAAAAACTGTTGTTGCTCTAATTCCTTAAGGTCCCTTAAGTACTTTGTAATTAAGGTGAAGAGCATTTTAAAAAAAGACAATGCTTTATTAAAACAATATCATGACAATTTTTTTAATTTTGGAACTTCCTAGTTATAAGAGGTTTTCGTTTCCTCTCTCATGAGTAATTTGATAGGTGATTCTTTTACTGGCAAGCTATTTTTCAAATACTTAAACTATTCTATCCTATAGTGGCTCAAGTTAGTCTGCCACCAGATAAAAGGTTTGACAGGTGAAGACTTTGACAGGTGAAGAGAGGTTTGTAGGTACTTGTCTATCTAGTTTTATTCTCTGGGCACAGTGGTGGTGGTAAATCCTTTCTTAAATACGTGGATTTGCAATGTTTCCTGCTGTTCAGTACAAGTAACTAAGGTAGGATATGCGTTTTGGCTTAGAATGTGTTGATCTCACTGCTTCTGATTCTTTTTAAGTAAAGAGGATGCTCATCTGAAACCTCTCAGTTACTTTTTGATTTGTGCAGTTGGCATTTATTTCTTAGCATCTGATGTTCCTTTTTGTTCAGGTGGCGAGATGCAGCACCCAAGACGGGATGCTGCACTCAGTAGACTTGTTTCTGTAGTCTGCCCACTCACACAAAAAGCTTGAGTAGTGCCCCAGAAGGTGTGGCGGGTATGCAGGTGCAGCAACAGGTGGGGCTTTGTTGCAGTGGGGGCTGCTTTTCAAGTGCAGGTTTTGTTGCCTAATGGAAAGGAGAGGGTCCCTCTTCCTTACTGAGCTTTTTTCTCACTGCTTTTATGAAAGTGCATGCGAGTGCACACCAAGGTGTGGCAGGTGTTTTATTTTGAGAACAGAAATTAAATTTTTCAGTAAGACAAGATGCAGGAGGGGAGACTTTTGAAGGAAAGTTTTTTTTCCCCCCTCGTTTGGATTGTAATGTAATCTTTGCTGTATTTTTATAGGTAGTAAAAAGAAACTGTATTGTCGTGGTTCTTAAAGCTGTCCCCCAAATATTGTAAGAGCTCCT